ATTTCAATGTAAGACAAAACTTTCACATTAAAATGTAACTACAAATAATACATACTTTACTCTTAAAATTATTTTACATACAGTAGAGCGTCGATTTTCCGAATCAATTGGGGACTGGGGTTGTCTGGATAACTGATATTTCGGATAACTGATTTACATATGAAAAAATAGTTTAACCTCCAGTGATGTCCAAACACTCTTGCAATCATTCCAGAATTCTAAAATTGCATGTTAACAATGTGGGGGTGCAAGATGGGCCATCCCCATTTAGCCTGTCATGTAAGATATTATTTAGATGAACAATTTGGTGAGTGATGGCTTGGTTATAAGTCATTTCTTAGTCCATAAGGGTCTCCCAATTTGATGCCCTTCAATTTATGGCTGTGGGATGATGCTAAAATGAAAGTGTATGCTGAAAAACCTTCAAACTTGCATCATCTAATGGAGAGAATTTGTATGGTTATTTAGGACATTCCAGATGAACATTGTCAACATGCAATTCAGAGATTCCAGAAATGTCTGCAAGAGTGTTTGGACATCACTCAAGCACAGTTGGTGGTTGAATAGATGTATGTTGCTGTGAAACTTTAAAATGTAAGTAATATTTTAGAAGTTATTTCATAGTGATGTGACATTCTTTCTGGATGATATAGCACTTTGAAATCAAGCAGAACTTAAAAAACACCCTGTATATGCTTAAGCCATAACTAGCATTTAATGTAATATATATATATGTAATAATCACCATTATAAAGTATAAATTATCATTAAGTAATCTTCAAGTAAGAAGACAGTACTAAAATAAATCTGTGCTTAATGTTTTTTAAGTCATAACTCAATGGGTGAAACAAGTCTTTATCTTATTGGAAAATATAAAATGACAATTTCACAAATAGGCTAATTTTGAATTGCCTAATTCATGAAATAGGGAAAAAAATTGCCTAGTTTATGAAATTGGCAGTTGATATGCTAGTTTCGTAAATTATGCAAATTTTTGCTTATTTTATGAAATGAGCAATATTTCCGGATTTGATCCTAACATATATACAGTATAATAATCAAATTACAATAAACTGTTTTATCCAAGTACATTATTGAATTTGCACTTTGAAGAAGTATAATTTTTGCTTTTGAAATGTTTTTTTAAATTAAGGAATTAAGGTATCTGTTCAATATTTTTAAATGGACTATATTTAATTGAATATTATTTAGAATTAAGAAATTTTATTTGATCATTTGAGAATCTATTATATCTAAACCAATAAAGCTTACAAAAAAGATTATCTAACAAAATAATATCTAAAACACTGAATTAGATTGATCGTAAATAAACTATTAACTGGTAAGTATTTCCATTTCTTAAATAATCATTTTACATAATTAAATTTTGCATGAAAATTGAGATTTTAAATTTAAAGTATTAAAAACTATGAGATTTAAACTAGCTTATTTACAGGTATTGAACTCAAATATTATTTAAAAAATATTAAATAATAATTTGATTTAACTAATTTCTTAATATAAAGTTTAAGTTATATTTCAACATTTAAAATATATTTTAGTATTTACATTTTAATATTTATAAAATTTTTAGGTGGTATTTGTTCCTTTGTGGATAGTTATGTGTTTGGCAGTTATTGGTGTTCTTTATGCGATTATATTTGCAAGCATTTTATTAAGAACACCAGAAGTTGGTCCAGAACAACGTCGTACCAGTATACATTCTGCAATTTCTTACAGTATGATAGTAGTGCCATTGTTAATTTTTTTGGTATGATAATGGTATTTATTAAAAGTTAATTTTAATGCTGTTAGCTTTCTAAATCAATTATTATTTTGTTTTAGGTATTATTATCTAATAAACTGGACAGAGGAAGTAGTTTAAGCTATACAGCTACTTGCATTCCACTTTTTTTCACATTTGTTGTACTCATTCTCTTGTCATTTGGATCCAAAGGAGGAAATCATTGTAAATATTTTTAATATGTTTATTTTATTTTAAAAATTTTTTATTGATAACTGTAAAAGTAGCTATTTCATTAAAAATAATCTGAATTTGATTAATATTTTCACATTTCTAGAATATTGCACAAAAATAAATGTTTTATTTAACTTTGATCATGAAAATCAGAATTTAAGAGAGAAAATTATTAATGTTACTTAAAAAGAAATTAAATAATTATATGATTGAAATGTTTCAAAAACAATACAGCATGCTTTCAGTTTTTCATTATATAGAAATTTTACTATGAAGAAATTTAACTTGAATAGTTCTTAAAGAATAAAAATAATTTCTGTAAAATTAATACAATTAGTCCTCAGTTAAATCAATAGATTTAGTAGATCCTTGATTATCTGAGCCCTAATTAACCAAGTGAACCTGTAAATGAATACAGTGCATTTCTTACAATTCATAAAAAGCTTTGCCTTGAATGCATTGAACGTGTAATATTTTTTATTTCAACTGTACTGAATGAGTGGCTGATGCTTAGGAGACTGTGAAACATTGTAGAAATGAAGACAGTAACTGCTATAAGACAAAATACTCTAAATGATTTTTTTAAAGTTTAATATAACAACATGTATTAAAAATGATTTGTTTTTGTTATCCATTATTATTTAATTTCAATGTAAGACAAAACTTTCACATTAAAATGTAACTACAAATAATACATACTTTACTCTTAAAATTATTTTACATACAGTAGAGCGTCGATTTTCCGAATCAATTGGGGACTGGGGTTGTCTGGATAACTGATATTTCGGATAACTGATTTACATATGAAAAAATAGTTTAACGTATCCGATGCCGAAATTTTTCTCCGTTGTGTGTTGCTTCGCGTTGAATTTTCGTCAATGTTAAGCCTAACAAAGACTATTGTATTGTTAAAAATTATTTTTTTATTTTGTACAAACAAAATAAATATATTGAAAAATATAAAAATAATAAATAATTATACTTCAGATGTTAATTNCGACATTCTGTTGCCAAATTCTGCTCTGTTTCCTTCTGCTCAAATTGGTGATATCGTACAAATACAAGTCCCTGATGTTGACCGTGGCAGTACAGATGCCCGAAATGTGTTGATGGTTGTTGTTGGAATAGAAGACTCTGACTTTTATAAATTAACAAACAAAAATGTACCCTCAAGCAGCTTTATACCCATAATGCATTCGTAATTTATAAAGAAAAGTTACTTTCCATAGATGATATTTCTTCTCAAGAAATATCACTGAGAGAAGCAGCTGCAGCTAATTCGAAAAGTGGAGGGCAAGGCTATACACACTGTCATTGCAAAAACAAGTGTTCCACGAATAACTGCAGTTGTAAAAGCAAGGGACTTTTGTGTAATTTAAAGTGCCATAACAGTTTAAGTTGTTGCAATAAATAAGATTAATCACATAATTTATGTGTAAGTTTATTATTGTATTATTTTCTGTAATGATTTAGAATGTACTGTTTGTTTTAGATTCAACAGTTCATTTACATGTGCTGTTACTTAAGCT